AGAAGCTGGAACATTCAAATCAACACCCGAACTGCGAGCTATAATCACTCAGGCTCCAGCTGTTCGGGAGGAAATAGACGAATGGGTATCTGCAATACCAGCGTTCGTAACAATATGAAGGACGGTTTCCTTTTCCGACCACACACCCCAGGTGGGCGTCTGGTCACTGGCAGCGCCCCAGAGGCTGGTGTCTGACTCCAGCACGAGATCCAGATGGTACTCTCATTACAGACTTGCATGTGTAGGAGCCACCATTGCAGTTCTGACCAAAAATCCTCCGTCAGTAGAAGTGACTGATCTAAGTTGGGTTCCAACAAAGGGAGGTGGCCTTCACACTCTGCATTGCAGTTAAGGGATCTGGAAAAATTACCTGTATGGATGAGTACAGCAGCATATTTCTTTTGCAAATCAATGAGATCTTCAAACTTGGATGTTTGAGAACACAAGCAACAGAATCTGAATGTTGAAGCCCAAGAACTGAGCCGACCGTAAAGGAGCCAGACCTGACTTTGACTGATTCACGAAAAACCTGAGAGACTCAAAAAAATCTACAATGTAGAAAGTTTGACGACGCAACCTTGACACTTTGGAACAGAACATCAAAATGTAATCCAAGTAGTCTATGCAAACAAATAACAGGTTTCAGAAGTTTCGTGGCATGTGAACTGCCACAGGGGTTGCACACCACCAGAATCGGAGGAAGCGTTGACTTGAAGGATGGATGAGAAAATGTAGCAATCCCTTTCCTGCCGAAGATCACTCAGAAGATGATTACCTTAAAATAAGATGTTACCGGGAAACTGACGGAGGCCAAGCACAGAGAGATGGACACAGGTTTCTTCAGGAAGGAAGAGATCTTTATTCGATTCACCGACCGGGACTCAGAGGGACTTATGCCACCAAAAACAGCAAAGATCTGAGTACTGAATACATAGAGTACATTCCTTATATAGCACTGTAGCTTCTCCCATAATTAGCTACGCCCACACATACCCTTAACCTAATCAATGAATAGAGTCTAAACTCATCCATCCGGTCTAACCACGTGGCTCATCTGAAACAAAGGAGAGGAACGCGTAATTCCAGTTCCTGCATTCCTGCACATGCTCAGTACAGTGATGACAGTATCTTAGCTACGTGTAACTAACTAACTGATACTACAAACACATGTACCTACATATGCCTTGTGGCAATCTTGGCCTGCTAAACTTGTATTTTACTGGAATTCCATCACATTCCCCCCTTTGATGCTTCTGATTTAAAATAATTCCAGATGCATCACCAATCATAGTTTGCTTACACCTCAAGTTGCCATAAACTAGACCAAACTTTGCGATCCTCTAAAGATACGAACCCCTCAACATTCCTCTTCCTGCATGTATTCTCCTTGATCTAGAGCTTCATACCTGCAAGCAGCCATTACCTATGCTGCGGCCTTTCTTTCTGCTATACTTTCTATAATGCTCTGCATAGACCTAATTACCAAAGGAATCCGACATGGCAGAAGGAGACACAACATCAAAATCAGTATGACTCCACCTACCAATGCCTTGATTCCTCCAAACTGCTCATACCAACTACCAAACCAACTACTCGGATTATACCCTTTCCATACCTGAGTAGGTACATGTGCTAGCTTAACCATATGGCTAGTAAGCTCAGCTATTGCTTGCCCTTCATCATCTATTTGAAGACAACAATTGCTTAGATTAAACTTCCCACATACACCTCCCTCTACTGCCAATAGGTAATCCAAAACTAATCTATTCTGGTAGATGGCTGTCCTCATCCTGATGTTTCATTGGTAACTATCTCAACTACTGCTTGCAATCTTATAATACGATTAAGCATATATATTGGGGTTCTGTATCCATAAGTACCATCCTCTGCCCACGTAGCTGGCCCATAATAATCTATAATACGCTGGGGAGGCCACTCATCATCTTCCCAGGTACCTATCTCTAGGGGTGCCCTTTTCTTCCTATGATTTACATCATATACTTTAACTCCCAAAGTCTCTCCTGTTTCAATTGGCAACAAGAAGAAGGATGGTTTGAGCATACCCAATACACATGCCCCTTCCCAGTCCTGTGGTAACTCCGAATATGCTTTCTTACCACAAATCCAGTACAATTTTGCTGGGGCTTTCCAACTAGATGTAGCAGATAGGTCAAACCATACATCCTTTAAATTGGTATAATTTGCAAACGGATTAGACGGTTCTGAGACATTTGAAGCTGACCACCAAATAGTATCCTTTGTATTGTCATTATAGGCTTTCTGCCCTAAACAAGTCAATTCTCCTACAGATGTATTAAACATTATTCATTTCCTTGCTATACAAACATAAGCTATAATGGAGGTCTTTAATCGCCACTCAGATTTACCTCTAACACTCACTTGATAATCAGATTGAGAAGATATTAGTTGTTCAACTGTCTCAGAACCAGAATACATTACCTCCTTTGCTTCCCAAGGCCATTGGTCTCCCATATTAGTACCTCCACACACATAGCAGTTGGTTACATTAAGACTACCAGCAATGCTCTCAGCTAGGTCTATGAATAATTTTTTTTCATTATGGGGAACCTTATCTTCCACACTCATCTCCTCATAAAAAGAATGGAAAACCTGATGAGTCTGGGGGGCCACTGTATCTGTCTCTATTCCTATGTATAATATCGTCCCAGGATCCAAACCTGTTCCATATATTTGGAACCCAAATAGATTCCCAAACTTATCTATAAATAGCTCTGGGTCCTTGATAAGTATATGGACTGGGTTACACTCCATAGACTTACAATATGGCTTGGTAGGCAATCTAGTGATAATCATATCCTTATCTACTGTCTGTCCCCAGGTTGCCCATCCCACACAGGACCAATACGGACAATAATTGTAGTCTTTATTTAGGCAGTTTGGATCTATATACTTATGCTTATTACTAGGACAAATATACTTATCATTAGACCCATACGTTCTTTCCCATTTAAAACCACCACATACATTCCATGGCTTCCTACTACCTTATATCGCCTTACATGCATCAAATAGCAAAACACCTGGAGAATGTACGCTTTCTAGTACAGTCTTATTTATCAGGTTCCCCTGTGCGTTCTCATTCCGAATAGTCAACCAAATTGTACGGGGCTGATACTCAGGATTAAAACACCTAGGTTCTCCTGCTCCTATATGGCATACACTATAATCTGTACCTAGGTATCTACACTTTGATACATGTCCTGTGCACTCATATTGCGAATGCCAAATAAGGGTCTGGGAAATACGATTGCCTGTTTTCGTAGTCTTAATGCAAACCTCGCAGCCTGGTGTGTCGGTACCTCTACCTTCCTGAATAATTAAAAACACACATATATACATCATCAAACACATTACTCCTGACATCTTCTTCCTAATTCTTCGACCGTGCGACGGTCAGCTTCCAGGCGTGTGAGGGCTGCAGGGAATGGAGTCCTTCTGATCCTCACTGTTCTTCACAGAGGATTCCTCTGGCTTAAACGTTGGTAGGTGGTCAGGCTTTATTGTGGCCGTCAAAACACCTACTTGTAGATCTTTGTTGATGTTCCCTTGTAACAATACTCTTCGCAAAAAACACTTTTAATCTAACTGGGTCACTCGCTTCAACCGGATCTTGCAGGGATTCTCAGGATCTTGAGTAGCTTGCCAATAATCTGCTGCTGGTTTAACCCTGGAGTGATGAACCCACGGAGTCACCTCTGCCACCTTTATAGCTGTTGGAGTAGACAAAAGAACAGCATAAGGACCCCTCCACTTTGGCCCCAACGGTAAACTGTTCCACTCCTTTATCCAAACTTGGTCTCCTGGATGGTAAGAATGGACAGGTGGATAAATATTTACAGGTAACCTATCTTGTACCCATTTCTGTACCTCCTCCATAGTTTTACCCAACTCTACAACCTGCCGCCGGGTAATTCCTTCTCCCAACTGACTCAAGTCCCCCCTTAAGTTACTAAGTATGGGAGGTGGACGCCCATACATAATTTCAAAGGGTGATAGACCTAACTTTCTGGTAGGTGTACTACGAATGCGCAACAGAGCTATTGGCAAAAGAACATTCCACTTGAGTTGGGTTTCTTGACACATTTTTGCCAACTGGGTCTTAATGGTTCTGTTCATCCTTTCCACTTTCCCAGAACTCTGAGGAAGTTTCCACTTAATACCAAGCATATGAGTCAGTTGTTGTAGGCACTGATGGACAAAAGCTGGACCATTATCTGATCCTATAGAACACGGTAGTCCATATCGGGGTATTATTTCTCGCAACAGAAATCGCACAACTTCTCCTGCTTTCTCTGTACGAGTTGGACACGCCTCTGCCCATCCTGAGTAGGTACACACAGCTACTAGTAGGTAACGATGTCCGCCGGATTTGGGGATTACCGTGTAGTCTATTTGGAGATCGGACATAGGAAGCCCTCCCATGTACAGGACTCCCGGTGGTTTCACTGGACCTTGCCCTGCGTTGTTCTTGGCACATGACACACATCTTCGAACAATGGCTTGAGTCAAGTTGGACAATCTTGGTATGTAGAAATGCTTCCTAAGAGATTCTTCCATACTATCTCTTCCAGAATGTGTCCCATTATGATAATTCTGGACAATTTCTACAGCTAGCGATGCTGGAATAACTATTCTTCCATCTTCTAACTGATACCAATTATTCTCCAAATATTTCCCAGCTTCAGTCTTTAACCACTCTACTTCTTGAGCTGTATAAACTGGAGTCCACTGGGACAGAGGGGTCGGTATAAGAGCTGCTACACACTCCACATATTCTTTTTGTCCGGATTCAGCGGCACGCTTAGCTGCACTATCTGCCATCCGATTTCCTTTCACCACATCACCATCACCTTTCAGATGTGCTCGACAATGTATGATACCAACTTCCTTCGGCTCCCATACAGCTTCCAATAGTTGTAATATCTCAGCTGCGTACTTGATTTATTTTCCTTCTGAGGTCAGTAATCCTCTTTCTTTATACAAAGCTCCATGGGCATGAGTGGTTAAAAACGCATACTTTGAGTCTGTGTAGATATTTACTTTCAACCCTTCAGCCAATTGCAAAGCCCGTGTAAGTGCGATTAATTCTGCCTTCTGTGCTGATGTTCCTTTTGACAATGGCCGCGCTTCTATCACCTGGTCATAGTTGTCACTGCATATCCGGCATAGCGAATCCCTTCTTTCACGTAACTACTGCCGTCCATGTAATACTGAACATCGGGCTTCTGGATGGGAAAATCATGAAGGTCCGGTCTACTTGAGAACACTTCATCCATTACCTCCAGGAAATCATGTCGACTCTCAGTAGGTTGCGGCAAGAGGGTAGCTGGGTTCAAGGTATTTACAGTCTCAAGATGCACTCTCGGGTTCACGCATAACATGGCTTGATACTTAGTCATGCGGCTATTGCTAAACCAATGATTACCTTTATAGTCTAGCAACGTCTGTACTGCGTGCGGGACTCGCACATAGAGTTCCTGACCCAGAGTGAGCTTGTCAGCTTCTGCTACCAACAAGGCGGCGGCAGCTACGGCCCTTAGACAAGGAGGAAGACCACTGACTACTGCATCCAGTTGTTTGGACATATACGCAACATGCCATGATCCCAGATACTGTGTCAGTACTCCCACAGCCATCCTTCTTTGCTCGTGTACATATAAGTAGAATGGACGTGTATGATCAGGTAGACCTAATGCGGGGGTGCTCATCAATGCCTTCTTAACATCCTCAAATGCCTTCTGCTGTTCGATGGTCCACAGGAAGGAATCATGTTCTGTGCCTTTAATAGCGGCATAGAGGGGTTTCGCCAGTATCGCATAACTGGGAATCCATATCCTACAGAAGCCTGCTGCCCCTAAGAATTCTCGCACTTGTCTTCTATTCTTAGGTGTTGGTATTTTGCATACAGCCTCTTTTCTTTCAGGCCCCATTATCCTTTGACCTTCAGAGATATGGAATCCCAGATACTTGACAGTTGGCTGACACAACTGAGCATTCTTCCTGGACACCTTGTATCCTGCCTTCCAAAGAATGTGCAGTAAATCATAAGTTGCTTGCTGGCATATCTCTTTAGTAACTGCCGCTATCAACAAATCATCCACGTATTGTAGTAGTACACATTCTCCTGGGATGGACTTGAAATCTAATAAGTCCTGACTTAATGCTGATCCAAATAGGGTAGGTGAATTTTTAAACCCTTGGGGCAATCTTGTCCAGGTCATCTGACGTTTCGAGCCCGTTACAGCATCTTCCCATTGGAATGCAAAGATACACTGGCTTTCTGTAGCAATTCGTAGGCAAAAGAAGGCATCTTTAAGGTCCAAGACTGTAAAGTAAGTAGCCCCACCCAGAATCAAGGCAAGCAGGTTATAAGGATTGGGCACAACTGGATGTATACTTACTACCGCATCATTGACTGCTCTCAAATCCTGCACAGGATGATACTCATCTGACCCAGGCTTCTGAACAGGAAACAATGGAGTATTCCAGGGGGAAGTACAGAATTTTAGGATACCATACCTTATGAACTTATCAAAATAAGACTGTATGTTCTTCTTCGCCTTTTGAGGTATATGGTATTGTCGCAGGCTTACTGGATAAACACCAAGCTTTAGTTCGATGCGTATAGGTGGGATATCGCGAGCAAGTCCTGGTGGGTTATTTTCTGCCCACACTCCTGGTATATTATACAAGGATTCATCACTCATAGTTTTGACTTGTCATCACTGTATAAAGTCGCCACTCTTCTTCCTTTGGTACTGATAGTGTCATTATACCTGAGGGTCCATTAAACTTCAAGGATGTCGTTCCGTTAGGCAGAAATGTTATCTGTGCTTGTAACTTCGACAACAAATCCCGTCCTAGAAGTTGGACTGGACATTCAGGCATGTAAAGGAACTGATGTTTCACTACGTGGCCTCCCAGTGTACAGAGTCGACTTTTGAGAACCGGTTTAGCAGCACTCCTCCCAGTTGCTCCTATTACAGTGATAGTTCTTCCTGAAGGAGGAGCAACTAGGTCGGTTACCACAGAATGTTCAGCACCAGTGTCGATCATGAAAGAACTCCTTTTTCCCCTATTGCTACATCGACCATAGGCTCCGCTCGACCAAGGGGGATGGAGCCCGGTCGGTATCAATAGTCCTCCATGACAGTGTCAGCCAAACCCACAAAGTCCCTATCTTCTCTTTCTCGCGGTCTCTGCGCTGCTGGGTAATACCTATCCCCTTGAACGCTTCCTCTACTATTCCCACCATTTCCTCCAGGGCCTCCTCTTCCTCTCACTCTACCTCTATAGTTATTACTATATCCTCCCCTTGTTCTATCTCTCTCATGTTGTTCCCTCAATGGACACTCACTCCTCCAATGCCCTTCTTCCCTACGAAATGCGCATTGGTTCCTACTTAAAGGCTCCCTATTCCACTTATTCTCGCTTTTCTCGGTTCCCCTGTACACTTCCTTTTCCCTTCTATCTACACCAGCGATAGCTACTGCTAACATATCTGCCTTTCTTCTCATCTTACGCTCTTCTTCCTTCTTCGTCTCTATCTCCCTATTCATATAAACCTTATTTGCTATTTCCATTAGTTGAGTTATAGACATCCCTACAAACCCTTCTAGCTTTTGCAATTTTCTTTTTTTTTTTTTTTTTCAATTGACAATTTTTATTATCTTTTCGAAATTCTTAGTGGGGTACAGAAGAGAAGTGGGGAAGGAGGAGTACCAACAGGTGTTATAGACATGGTTTAATCATTACATTGTACTTTACACATTCTTAACAATGCTATGGAATATTGATACATTCACAAATAAACTCAAATAAGTTCTACCTTGCCTTACATTTCTTCCTTGTGCCCTCCTCTGTGTTTCGTGGGTCGGTAGAGGGGAGGGGGGGTTAACCTATGTACACATGTGGGTTCTCGTTGTCGATGTGTTTTCCTACTTTTTCCTTCTACATGTGTGTAAGCTTGTGATGTGAGCTCTTGATGTGAGCTCCCTCCCTAGCATTCTTTTCTCAGTTCCTCACTGGCCGGTCCTTAGCGTTCTTACAGGACTCTATTGGTGTGCAGCTTCGGCTGCCTGACGTTTTACCGTTGTGACGAAGTGCCCTTCGCCACTTGGTCCTGGAGAGGCCTACTTGCCAGCCTCCTCCCCTGTGACTATGACTCTTTCACGTATCTGGCTTTAAAGCCCCTAGTCTACCTTCAGACAGACTATTTATGTAGGCTGCTTTATTTATCTTATGTTTTAGTCACCCTGTACTCATTATAGGTGCAGGGTGTGTGTAATGTAATTGTTTATAGTGTGTGTGTGTGTACTGTGTAATGTATTGCCTGCTCTCTTGTATTGCTGAGGTTTGCTACCAACTAGGTGGGTTTGGCTATGGAGCTTGTCTAGTGCCCTCTGTTGGTAGCAACAGCAATATGCACTACCTGAATTGCAAGACTGGTTCATTTGCATATTCGGGTAGATTTGCATATTGCTACTTCTGCAGGCAGGTGAGATATTTACTGTTAAATATTGTCTCCCCCCACCCCTTTAAGAATGTGCCATTGTGTTGTGATAAGTCACTGTGTATTGTTTGATATGGTTTGACTGTTTGTGATTTTATTGAGGTTTCACAACAATGTTATTGTGGTGACTGTATTGGCTGGTCCCAAGGGAATAAAGGTTTTGACAGTTCTTCTTGATCCCTCTAAGCGTAGCCTTGTCTCGTTATTGGAGGGAGCTGTTATAATCACACTGGGGATTGCTATGCTCTGCATGCTCCCCTGAGCTTGAATCACTTAGCTCTTTTAAGAGCTTGTTCCTGACACGCTCTCCTTGGAGGAGGGGTCTTCACCACACAGTCCTGGATGCTGGAGGTTCGGTCAGGGTGGAAGGAAGAGTTCTTTCCCACACAGTCCTGGAGGACAGAAGCTGATCCAGGGTGGAAGGAAGACGGCGAGACTCCAGTCAAGATCTGGTTCTTGAGGTCTGCGGTGGTTGTGGTGTCTGCTGCAGTGCTTGGAGTCCTCAGGAAGCGCTAGGAGCATCCGTCAACGGAGGGTACTCAGTCGGAGTACAAGGAGCTCCGTTACAACCGTGTTCCAATATGTGTCCCAGATGTGACCTGCCTCTGTAGTGACTCCCTTCTTTTCTAGCTGGCGGGCCGCCAAGTATTCGTATTCCTAGTTCAGTTGGATTTGGGCTAACAGACTGGCTTTTGTGGGGGCTGTACTAGATTTCCATTGTTTTGCTATGAGATTACATGCTGACACTATCGTGTGGAATAAAAGTTTGGCATGGACCTTGGACATGTCCTCTGGCCATATGTACAATAGGCACATTGCTGGGGTTAAGGTTACTTTTATAGGTAGTAGCTGATCAATGATGTTGTTCACTACCTTCCAGTAGGGTCGAATATCCCTGCACTCCCACCATATGTGTAACAGTGATCCCCTGTCCAGTCCACATCGCCAGCATTGGGCTGAAGTGCCTGGAAATATATGTGCGAGCCTCGTTGGGACCAGGTACCACCTATATTGTAGTTTCCTTATTTGTTCAAGGTGCGTGATGCATGCGGTCTTGCCTTTGTGGATAGTAAAGGCTCCCGACCATTGATGCTCTGAGAAAGTGCATCCTAGGTCCTTGTGCCATGCCTGTTTGAAGTTGTCTGTGGAGTTATGTGTACCTGTTAGTAGCGCTCCATAGACTCTTGAAAAGGTTCGTTTGTGTGGGTCTCCTCTGAGGCAACATGCGTCGTAGTTGGACACCGCGGGTGTCCCGGGTGGGGGGGTGTGGTGTTGTAGCATCGATTTGATCTGTAGGTATGAGAAGAGTGCTCTATTTGGTATTTTGTACTGTGCTTGTATGTCCGGGAACTGTTTAAGAGAGGATCCGTTGTACAGATGGTGTATGTGCGTTCACCCTGCCGCTGTCCATGTCCTATAGTCAAATGTTTGGTTTCTCAGGTATATGCTATACATCGTTGAGGCTAGTGATGGGTCCCCTGTGCCGCTGAGGTGCGCTCTGCTTGTGTCCCATGTGTGCAGCAGTAGTTTTGTGGTTTCCAGCATATGGGGTGTTGCTGGTCTCAGGTGTTTTGGTACCCCGAATAGATGGTGCATCCCAGCCCTGCACGACTCATGGGTTTCAATAGCTACCCATTGTGGCGGGTTTTTTACCCTGTGTGCCGTGGCCACCGTGGATAGAAGCGCCGCCTTGTAGTATAGTTTAATATCTGGAAAACTCATGCCCCCTTTCTCTACTGGCTTTTTGATCGTGGAGAGTGCTACTCTAGGAGTTTTATTTGCCCATGTGAATCGTGTGATGGTTTTTTGTAACGTGGTCATGTAATGCCTAGGGATGGGGATCTGTAGTGAACGGAATAGGTACTGTAATTTAGGTAACAGCGACATTTTAAATGCCGCTATACGTCCGTGCCACGAGTGGAAGTCACTGTTCCACTTGTCGAGCGTCTGCGTTATTTCGTGTGATAGTTTCTCGTAGTTATATTTATACATTTGGTGGGTCGTCCTGGCTAAATTGATCCCTAAAAACTTTATGTAATCGTCTCTCCAGTCAAAGTTGAAAGATTCCGTCAGAGTTTGAAGAGTTTGTCCCGGGAGGTGGATTCCCATTGCTTGTGTCTTCGTCAGGTTAAGTTTGTAATACGATACTTTGTTATAGTCTTGTATGCACTGAAGGAGGTTGGGTATGGACATTTGCGGTTGTGTCAGGGTTAGGAGTATGTCGTCCGCAAAGAGGCTGAGGGTGTACTCTCTGTCTCCCACTCGGGCTCCGTGTACCGCCGGGTGGTCCCTAATCGTGGCAGCCAGTGGCTCTAGTGCCAGCACGTACAGCAGAGGGGACAGCGGACACCCTTGTCTCGTCCCATTTGTAATTACTATTTGTTCGGATACGAATCCTGAGTTTAAGACCTGGGCCCTCGGTGCTGA